GTTCTCACTCTCTTGTTGAGCGGCCCATTCCAAGCCTTCATACAAGGTGCTTGTTGGTCTTAGGCTTGGTAAAGAACCTAGGCCAAGCCAATCATGGTGCGATTCATAAACCGGCGATACCGCTCTTTCATTAGTAATTCTTTCGCGCTTGGTTCATCCCGCATTTCAGTCACATCTCTGCATGGATTTAATTAGGTAGCATGCCATCTAGCCAGCTATACGCCGAGCGTTCGATTTTATTTATTTATCACAGACTAAGCCTTCATGGCACGCGATAATGCTCAAGATCATTGTGAAGAATGAGGAATGAATGAAAAAGCAAGCAGGTGGGTACAAGTAGGAAAACCTAGAAATGTTGTACCCCATATAGTCTACCACACTTCAACCTACACAAACTATAGCATATAAGTTTGACACACCCCCATAGGCAAATTGGGGGAGAACAAGAGGTCACAAGACCAGTCAAGCAAAGCAAAGCAAGCTCAGGGTGGATCACAACGTCACCACACAATCCGAGCACAAGAGCAAGGCCAAAAGGCCAGTTTACATGCAAGATCATATATGAAGGTAAACAGGCAAGTGCAGGTATAGAAAGACCACGGTACAAGCAAGGTCAAGAAGTGAGCAAGTGAAGCCAAGGAGGCACAAGACCTAGCATCGTACAGAAGCACTGATGATCACAAGGCGGAAGTGCCTTGGTAAAGATATCAGCAGTGTTGGCCTCAGAGGCCACGTAAGCAAGGCCCAGCTGACCACGCTGCTGCAGCTCATGAGCAAGGAAGTAACGAAGAGCAATGTGCTTCGTTCTGTGCTCCAATCTGTGCTCCCGACACAAGGCCAGCATGGCCTTGTTGTCTACGTACAGAACTGGAGGAGAACCAGGCGCCTCTCCTAGGTCAGTCAGCAGGTAGGTGAGCCAGCGTAGCTCCTATGCAGCCATGGCCCCCGCGTAGATCTCAGCCTCACAGCGGGAGCCAAGAATAGAAGACGAGCGGGTAGACCGCCACGAAACAGAGCTGGAGCCAAGGCTGAAGGTGTAACCCTGTGACGACCGCTGCGTAGCCTGGTCGTCAGCCCAAGAAGCGTCTGCGTGACCTATGATGACCACTCGTCGTCGCCCTCCAAGCACTAGCCCCATGCCCGACGTACTGCACAAGTAGCGCAACACCCTCTTCGCTGCAGCCATGTGCTCTGGTTGGTGTCTCCCGAGAGCAACATAGCGTGCCAAGATGCTAAGAGGGTATGCAAGGTCAGGTCGTGTGCAGGTCATCAGGTACATGAGGCAGCCAACAAGCTCTGGGTACGGGCCACTCGGCTCTACGGACTCATCCGAAGGCAGAGCTGAGAGCGAGTGGCGAGTAGACAGAGGAGTGGCCTGAGGCGAGGAGTATGTGAAGTCGAAGCACTGAAGGACCTGCTGCACCATGTGTGACTGAGTCAGGGTAATGGTGCGCTGTGCTTTGTCCCGGGTGATCTGCAAGCCAAGGTAGCTGCGCAGTTCACCCAGGTCTGTGCATCGGACTTTACGTGGGCGTGTCCAGCAGTGGCAAAGACCAAGTCGTCGACGTACACGAGGATGTAGAACGGCGGCAAAGAGGTGTCGGTGCGCAGAAACAGTGACGGGTCGGCTGTAGAAGGAGCAAACCCAAGAGCCGCAAGTGTAGTCCTCAGTGTGTCGTGCCACTCACGGGGAGCCTGGCGCAGACCGTAGACTGGGCGCCAGAGGCTCCACTGGGTACCAGGAGGAAACGACCCAGTGAAGCCAGGTGGGCGGCGCAGCCAGATCTCCTCGTGAAGGATGCCCTGTAGGAAAGTTGTGCTGAAGTCAAGAGAGTGAAGCTCGTAGTCGCGCTGAGCGGCTATGTGCAGCAGCACCTGAAGAGTGGTCATCTTTGGGGTGGGAGAGAAGGTCTGAAAGTAGTCAACTCCCTGCTGCTGACTGAAGCCTCGAGCCACGTAACGCGCCTTGAAGACAGGCGGAGAACCCGACGGCCGCTTCACCCTGAAAATCCACATGCCACTGACGATGTTCGCGCAAGGTGGGGGAACCTCGTCGGCGTAGGTGCCTTTGGACTTCCAGGAAGCCATCTCTGCGTCCATGGTTGAGTGCCACTGAGAGGAGTAGGGACCCTCCATCGCCTCAGCATACGATCGAGGAGTCGGGATGTCTGGTGCATCCGGAGCTCCCTCAGGGGCAATCAGCGTGGACATGAGATGAGGCAAAGCAGCAGAAAAATACTGGAACTCCTCCTGCCTGTCCTCAAGGACGTCCGTTCTAAGAGCACACTCACCCCCGACGGACGGAAGAGAGACAGACTCAGACAGTGTTGAACTGTTCGATCAGTGCTGCCGGAAACTGCGCCCACGTCCCCTCACCTTGGACTATTCTGTTGTTGATCTAGTCTAGAGCTGGGCCTCGTAACAGTGTTGCTGCGAGCCGTATGCGCATTGCGTCTTTTGTCGGGTTCCTACATCCAACGGCTTCGAAGTAAATTTCGAGTTCAGCTACAAATCGACGAACGACGTTTCTTTTTACTGTAGAATCGAACGCCTCCGGTAGCCTCGGCTTCACTGCTTCGAGGTTAACTGTAGCTGCTCCGTTGTCGTATGTAGAATCGTCGGTGTTGCCGCTGCTGCTGCTGCTACTGTTGTCGCTGCTGCTGTGGCGGTTGCCGACTGGTTTGCAAGGAGTTTTTCGAGTCGTGGGAGCGCCGCATGTATTTGCTTATGCTCAGCACGTAACCCCGCGATTTTCTGTACTGAAATATCTCCTTTTCCCTCCATTTGGCGATTTACAGGAAGATGCGCGACGAAAATAATCGAATTCTAGGTGCTGGTCGACTTACTGCGAGTCAAGTTGACTATAGGATCGACGAGCGCAAATTCTGTAGGTCGCGTAAATCTCTCTTGAGTGAAATTCGCGTCCGATCTTGGCCGTTGAGGAGAAAATCAATCCGACGCTCCAAATTCCAACGTTTTCGGGTGAAATTCTCTGGGCCGTTAAGATGAAACTCGATCGAACGGTCGAAACTATAACCTTTCCACCAGTAAATCTGAGGAGTGTTCGAAAACCGAATCGAGGGGGACTTAGAAAAATTGCGCGGAACTGGTTTTACATATCCGTATCGGCGCTTTCGTCGTCGGCCCCGCGGTTTTTTAAAGGCCGGAACTAAGCGGTTGAAGACCTCGCGAGTAAACCCGCTCTGATAACCAAGTGTGAGGATCTAGGATCGAGCTCAGAAAAGAGAATGTGAATTGAATGAATTGAATAATCACGTGGGTACAACACGAGGCTATATATTGGCTTGACGCAAGGCCCCGTAACCAGGTGTTACGCGAAGGTTCCGCGGGCCGCGTAGCGTCCCGAACAGATCCTTACCGAATTCGGTAGAAGGCAATTCGGTGGCAACCGGAAAGCCAGAATTCGGTGCACGCAACCTAGCTCGGTGCTATAGCTATAATAAAATATAGGAAAGCACCTAGCCTAGGAAATCAAGCAATTCATGCATGCATATGATTATCCTATGCTAGAAATAGCATGATAAAGTAAAGGTAAGCAAGCATAGCTGGCATAAGTCGTCGAACTCTCACATCACGTATCCTACTTGGCGAAGCAGCATGCAACTTATGAAGATTTGACAGGTGGGTTTCCAGGTACACGAACCTTTGCTACAGAAGTAGACGAAGCTGGCGCAGTGGAGGAAGCTGTTTCTGGTGCGACAGCAGTTGCCGGTGCCGCCCCATACCGTTCAGTTCCGATCAAAATTGATGAGGAAGATTCTCACCATGACATCAACGCTGGACCTTACTACTAGTTTGCTGATAACAGAGCAACTACAGCTATCCCTGTTGCTTCTAACAAAAGCGAGAGACTTGGCCCTGGTTCTAATTTTGATCCTGAAGCTGGTGACGAAGTTGCTGCTAACGAGACTAAGCGGCAAACTTGTTATCCACAGACTGGATTACAAATACTAGGGCTCGCCGTAGCAGTTAAACCACCTCTTCTTACCAAACCAAACACCTTGGTTTAAGCACTAAACAAACCTCACTGGGAAAAATGGCACGAAGCCATGGATAAGGAACTGAAGGCACGACACGATAACACCATATGGGATTTAATTTCTATATCGACGGTTCCTAGCAAGAATATCCTCTATGGGAAGTGGGTCTTCCATTAATACCAGCGCTGACGGGACGATCGAGCTCTTCAAGACTCATTGTTCACGGTTTTGATTAGAAACAAAGGCGTGGATTATGGCGCGACTTTCGTTCTTCTCACTCGTCACACTTCGCTCCACATTAAACTCGAATTCGCAGCAGCATTGGGTCTTAAGCTTCGCCAAATCAATATCTCTACAGCGTTTCTTTACGCTCTCGTTGACGCACTCATACTTGTAGAGCAGCTGCGCGGTTACGTTACAGACCCCTCCAAGGTCTGTCGCCTCAACAAACCTCTCGACGGGATTAAACAGGCGCCGCGACTCTGGCAGCTGCATCTACACGAACACCTCATTCCGCATCGGATTTCGTCAACTGCCTCGTGACCACGGCATGTACCGTCTCGATCGCGAAGCCCGACACCTTCGCAGGTTGCAACTACAGTCGCTCCTAACACCGTGGCAGGCCACGCAGAAGATGCCTAGATGTCCGTAGCCCCGAGCTCTAACCCGGCCCCTGTGCTGCCCACCTCACGTATCGACACGCCCATTCTAGGTGCCCCCCCCCCCCCCCCCCCCCCCCGCCCTCTCCCCCCCCTTCCCCCCACAATATTTGTCGTGTGCGCATGATCGTTGTCACCCCATTGATGCTCCCGCAGCGCCGCCGCGTGGTTGTGTGTCTCTCCTCCTCCTAGAAGCTAACAGGAATCGCACCGCATTGAGATCTTTGCCAGCATCAATGTGCTGCTGTGCGACTTCATGTTTGGATCCGGCACCATTCCACCATTTGAGTAGACCGTCGATGACCCCCTCCGCGTGGCCCGTTGCACGTACGTCTGCCTGATGTTTTCATGGCCATCGCAGGAGGATGCAACCGCCTTTCGCAGGCTATTCCCCTTCACGCTCAAACTCCCAAACTCTCGCCCCGTTCTGCTAAAGGAGTTCGTGGACAGGTTCGTGGCAAAGGCCGTAGGCGAACCCACCTTATCCATCCGCAATGGTCTCCTGGAGTACGCTCCAGAGGACATCCATGTCTTCCTCTTGGACTCTACCAAGCCAGATGGTGCACACTGGCTTGCTGACTTGACCAACTTTCATCGCGCCCCAGACCCATACGAGGGTACCTACTTCACTCACCTTGCAGGGCTCCCCGTCGCCACCTTTGATGACCCTCATTCTGAACTCATCCCATCCGAAATCCTGCTGAAGGCCAACAAGCCTCCCATGCTGCTTAACTTTTCCTACCACGTGTGCTCGTTTTTCTCCAACAACCACCGTGCATCGGACCATGACGTGTTCGCTGCCCGCTTCCAGCATTGCCTTACAAATCGGAACACGATCTCAACCACGCGACTGAAGCAAGCAAATGGTACTCAAAATGCCTCTTTTGTATTCGGTGCAAACATCCCTCCATCTTGCTGCCATTCTACACTTCTAGTCTGCCTCTTGTGTCCTCTCGAACACTCCCCTTCTGCCCTCAAATTTGCCCCCCCCCCTCCCCACCCCGCGCTCACCTTCTGCTGTCCCTCTATCCTTATGCACCCCCCTCCCCTGTTGCCTTCTCTCCTTCGCCCCCCACAGGGGCTTGGACCCCGGCCACCCCCACACTCAACCTGCGTCTGCCCTCTCCCCCCGCCCCCCTCTCTCACCACCCATCTTGTGCCTGCTGTCCCCCTTTACCATGCCTTCACCCCTACCATCCCCCTCTTCCCTATACCATTTCTTTACCTGGCCCCCCTTGCCATCGGCCCTTCACTCACCTACCCGCTCACTCCATACCTCCAGTCCCTCTCTGCTCTCCCCCACCCATGCAGGAAACCCTCCCTCTCAATCCACTCCCCTCCTGCCGCCATTCAACTAGCACCCACCCCTTGTATCGTACCCTCTGGTTGGGCATCCGCGCACCCACGAACTCACCCCATACCCCCAAACGCCCCCTGCCCTCTCCTCTCCCCGTAGGCACCACTTTACCCATGAACCCCCACTCCCTGCCCTCACCCATTCCACCCCTTCCCCCCATGACACTCCCCCCCCCTACCATCGCTGAGGTCGGATCTCCGCTCTCCCACAAGCTCACCTCACACCCATAACCCCTCCCAGCTGTCTCCTACCCCCGCAGGCAACTCTCCCCTCCGGAACTCTCCCTCCCTGCGCCCAACCAACATAGCCCTCACCCCTTGCGCATTATCTCCCCTTGCTTCCCCAGAGGAAAGGCCTCTGCCCACCCCTATGCTAGCACTGAGAGGGTTCACTCTCCGGTTTCTCCCCCCTTCTCAAGCAGCACCCTCCCCCGCAACTCCCCCACCCCGACTTAATCCTTTCCCTCCCCCCCTCCTTGGTCGCCCCTCCTCCAGCCCCCCCATAGGCCCCGCCCCCACCGTCCTCCACTCCCACCAATTATCTTCCCCGCTCTGTTGACAGCCCCCTCCCTCTGGCCTCTCACATAGTTCACTCAAGCAGGTCGCCTCCCACCCCTTTGATCTCTTCTCTTCCTCTAGTCGGGCCTCTGCCAACCCACGCTCTTCCCCCCCCCCCCCCCCCCCCCCCCCCTCCCCCCACTCCCTACACTTACCTCCCCCTGCAGCCAACACTCCTACACGGATCCCCCCTCCTCACCTACACCTTCTCCACCCTCCCCTCATCCCCAACTCTCCTTGCCCCCCTTATACCTGGACCTACGTCCAACCCCGTACCCACACTGGCCCCCCCTCCTCCCACTGACTGCTCCCTCCCTTGTAGGCAATGTTCTGAGGAACCACGCCGCTCCAACCGCCTTTCGCAACGACCCCGGACTCATCTACATTGGGCTGGACAACAAACTCGAAACCTGGGCGTGTGCGCTTTGTGACTTCACCTGCGGCGCTACCCTTAATAGCTCCATGGACCACATTCTGTCCGAACCGCACACCAACGCATAGAGCACCGCTTGCGACAACATTAGAGGATAGGTGGAAGCTAGCACGAGACTTCAACATTTCCCGTGTCTGTCCAGACGCGATATTAAGTTGGGTACCAACAGATCCATTTTAGTACCTATGCAGAGCATAACGGCGTGCTATCGAAGTGTCTCATAAAAAAATCCTATCATGCAAAAGTTCCTGTTCATTCGATGCCTCTATTGCTGATTCGCTAACTGTGGGTTAGATCGTTTGTTCAACTCAATGCAAGATGTGGATTGATCAAATTATGTCATCTCGCGATAACTCCTGCAGTCCTTCCAAGTCTTCGCGCGTGTGGTAAGTTAAGTGAAAGCTGCTCGCTGGATGACGTGTCAGGGGGTTTGAGCGAGCATAATGAATATTTTGCCATGTTACAGTGAGATTCATCGCTAATCTTGCGCCGAATATTTGTCTCGACATTTTGCCGTTGTGCCCATTGACAATTTCATTCCCAACTATCAAGTCACATTCATCACATCACCTTAGCACATTTCATCCCACAAGAAAAGGAGAGTCATTAATGGCAAACCAGGCACTTTCACGCCTACTAGCATAGCCGGCTCGATAGCGGTGTGCACGTGACGAGAGTGAGCGCGGCGAGCCCTCTTGTTATCCTGGTCCTGTGTGGCCTTGCGTCCGCAATGGCTGTCCTTGTGCATGATTTTTGCAAAGTTGCATCGATTCTCATGCAAGCTGAGTACACCCGCTTTATTGAAGCCAGAGTGACTCCCACGCCATGGCAGCTCCTAGACTGTGTGGGGCATCTTGTACTGGAGCGTTGTACTCGCGCGGACAGACAGAGAGCCTGTGCCAGAACGGTACTGCTCGCATCGCGTCAATCCTTGCCAGGCGTCACACTGTCATATATAAACAACGCCTGCATTCACACCATGTTGCGCAACCACCATTACTAGCGCATGCATGCTGACCCTCCACCTGCATGCTGACGGCTTCGTGCGCATCATTAGGTGAGGACACCGAGCCATAAATTACAACGCTACTGGCCTCCATAATTTGGTTTCGTCCAGACCTCCAGTGTATGATTACAAGACGTTCCCCATGCATTTCGCAATGAGTGGAGGTTGGGTGGTAAGTACCGCTCGCATGTAGCTAATAGCTTCCGAGAATAATTTAATGTCGTTAACTCACCGACGATGGATTGTTGCGCACATCCAGCACGGTAAATATCTATATTGGGGCGCCGGAGACACACGCAGTACAAGATTCAACAGCCAAATCTGTACCCTTACAGGAAGTTCAAACACGTTGGCAGTGTCAACAAGATGGGTGCCGACATTCTAGCTCACTCTCTCGGCATGCTTGCATGGTGGGAATGGCCGCCACGTGATAGGATGTTCTAGGACACACACATCGTAAACGCATGTCTGTCTATCCTTGGGAGAGGCCTCCAGGATTCCCATAGTTGCCGTTGTACTACCTTGTGTGTCAAGACTATAAGGCATGACGATGTTGTGCTGGATTTTAGTCTGTGATTTGTATGGTTGTTCTGTGTCAGCATATTGCGATCGCAACGTTTACATAAAACGTAATATCTTAACGAGGCAAATATTATCGAAACGTATAATCACTCCCTTACCTCGACAAGGATGGGGCTTGATGAAACGCTCTAACCAACTACCTTAACCTCAATATTCGCAAACACGGTATGGGCGCCAGCGCCATACTAGGTCGCGCCCTGATTGGCCGGCACTATCTGCTGTCAAAACATATATGCTTATGTTGTTTAGGCTAGATAGGTGTTAGCACTAGGGGGTACATAATTTCACTCGATGTTGTTCTTGTACCCCTCCCCTTGACCTAACAACCATCATGTTCTTCTTGACATGGTAGCTGAGAGCGGGTGACCGGTAGGAAAAGGAGTGGACTGTGGTGAGGAGCACTAGAAGTCGAAATAATGAAGGACCTGCTGCATCATGTGTGACTGATTCAAGGTAATGGTGCGCTGTGCTCTGTCCCGGGTGATCTGCAAGCCAAGATAGCTGCGCAGCTCACCCAGGTCAGTGCACGTGTGTCTCTTCTGCAGCTCCAACTTCACGTGAGCGAGTCCCTCAGTGTCAATAGTGGCAAAGACCAAGTCGTCGACGTACACGAGGATGTAGAACCGCAGCAATGAAGTGTCGGTGCACAGAAACAGCGACGGGTCAGCAGTCGAAGGAGCAAACCCAAGAACTGCAAGCGTCGTCCTCGGTGTGTCGTGCCACTCTCGAGGCGCCTGGCGGAGACTATGGACTGCCCGCCGAAGGCTCCACTGGGTACCTGCAGGATACGAACCAGTGAAGCCAGGTGGGCGGCGCAGCCAGATCTCCTTGTGCAAGCTGCCCTGTAGGAAGGCTGTGCTGAATTCAAGAGAGTGAAGCTCGTAGTCACGCTGAGCGGCGACGTGCAGTAGCACCCGAAGAGTGGTCATCTTCGGGGAAGGGGAGAAGGTCTGGAAGAAGTCAACTCCCTGTCGCTGTCTGAAGCCTCGTGCAACGTAACGCGCCTTGAAGACAGGCGAAAACCCGGCAGCCGCTTCACTCTGAAAATCCACATGCCACTATCAATGTTCGCCCCATGTGGGGGAACCTCGTCAACGTAGTGTCAGAATCCCAGCCACTAATCACTGGGATAAAAGGGCTTGTTTACGTAGCGGGTGAGTGCCCCCATAATATCAAACTCTTATGCTATAGTTTGTGTAGGCTATAATGGGGTAGACAATATAAGGTACAACACTTCTAGGTTTTCCTACTTGTACCCACCTGCTTGCTAGTTCATTCATTCCTCATTCTTTAACATGGTATCAGAGCAGGTTCCCTAGTGGGAACGCTTCCTTGGGCCCACCACTGAAACTTTTTTTTTTCTGACCGAAGCGCGAGTCGCTCCTGCCCGAGGCGCGCCTTGTGGGCCGCCCTTCTGTCGAGCTCTCTTAGAGGCCCCTCTCACGGCCCCTCGCGCCACCCAGGCGGCCCCGTCGCCGCCTTCCTCCCTACGCGGCCCCGTCGCCGCCCCTAAACGGCCTCGTCGCCGCCCCTAGCGGCCCTGTCGCCGCCCCTATGCGGCCCCGTTGCCGCCCCTAGCGGCCCCGTCGCCGCTCCCCTCCCTACGCGGCCCCGTCGCCGCCCCTACGCGGCCCCGTCGCCGCCCCTACGCGGCCCCATCGCCGCCCCTACGCGGCCCCGTTGCAGCCCCTAGCGGCCCCGTCGCCGCCCCTACGCGGCCCCGTCGACGCCCCTAACGGGCCCTTCGCCTCCTCCCTCCCTACGCGACCCTGTCGCCGCCCCTACGCGGCCCCGTCGCCGCCCCTAGCGGGCCCTTCGCCGCCTCCCTCCCTACGCGGCCCCGTCGCCGCCCCTGCGCGGCCTCGTAGCCGCCCCTACGCGGCCCTGTCGCCGCCCCTAGCGGCCCCGTAGCCACTCCCCTCCCTACGCGGCCCCGTCGCCGCCCCTACCGCCCCCGTCGCCGCCCCTACCCGGCCCCGTCGTCGCCCCTAGCGAGCAGCCGAGCCGCCGAGCCACCGAGCAGCTGAGCCGCCGAGCCGCCCAGCAGCCGAGTCGCCCAGCAGCCGAGCCGCCCCTACAGCAGCCGCCCCTGGAGCAGCCGCCCCTGGAGCAGCCGCCACTACAGCAGCCGCCCCTACAGCAGACGCCCCTAGAGCAGCCGCCCCTGGAGTAGCCACCCCTGCAGGTGCCGCGGAGCTCTCGCCCTACAGTGGTAGCGGCCTCGCCGTTGCCGCCGTCGTACGCCTGCCCTTCTCGCCACTGGTGAGCACTGCCTTGCCCGTACTCCTGTTACTGCTGCTCTTGCTGCTAGTGCTCTTTCTACTGCTACTGCTGCTCCTGGCGTAGCCAGATGCAGCTCCAGCGCCGCCCGCGCGAGTCCCTCACCCCCCAACAACTTCGTGAGTGGTACGCTAGTTGGGGTTGTCGGGGTGGCCGTAGTGGGAGTCGTCCTGGAGTGAGTAGTTCCGTAGCTGCTTGTAGTGGCAGGATGCAGCTCCAGCGTCGCCCGCGTGAGTCCCTCACCCCCCAACAGCTTCGTGAGTGGTACGCCAGTTGGGGTTGTCGAGGTGGCACTAGTGGGAGTCGTCCTGGAGTGGGTAGTTTGGGAGTTTCTTGTAGTGGCCCGATGCAGCAGCAGCGTTGTCCGCACGAGACTCTTTCACCCAAGCAGCTTCGTGAGTGGTACGCTCAGAGTGGAGGGTCTCTGTACACTGCTCGCTGCCCGTACGTTATTAGCACGGGTGTCCGGACTGGTCAGACTTGCGGGACGCGTGGTCACACAGAGTCCCGCTGCTTCGCCCGTCTGAGCGACGCTTGGCGTACAGAGTTTGGCGACGACGCTGAGCTCCCCGACTGGGTGGAGCTTCTTAGGCAGAG